GTTTTGGTTCCATAGTGTAGCGGTTAGCACGCCTGCCTCGGAAGTAGAGAGTCCTGGGTTTGATTCCCAGAGGCACAACATACTTGTCTGTTAATCCTCCTCTTGTGAGTCACTTTGGATAAAAGTGTTTGCTAAATGTTTTTATTTCTGTGACTAAATCCCAGTTCAGTGAGCTGCAGTTTGGGACCTTTGGTGTTCATCACAGGAGAGAAGGTCAGGCTGAGACTAGAAGAACTGACAGAACAACCACAGGTCATCATCACAGAACTGTTTTTATTCACTTGAGCTAATCTACATGCCAGATTTAACCAAATAAAAAATATAAAACTTTGTTAACACTCCCCAACAAACATAGATGGTAAATTTAGTGAATATGAACGATGAAACATCCAAGGATCGTTTCCGCTCTAGAGTGGTTTGTTGGTTTCAGGTAAAAGGTCGCCAACGGAAATGAACAAAACACTGAACACATTTGGGTTAAACATCCTTGTCATTATAACTTTATAATGCCTTGGTGAGAATAGTTATAATACCATTATTAACATGTTGACTAGCAGCTACATATACACTATCCACAAAGATTTAAATTAATTACTATAATAATTTTATGCTGCACTTTTTTTAAATGATAAAACTTCCGTTTTTTTGTTGGCAAAAACTTCGGTGCTAGTTGAACATAAAGACAAAAGGAAGTAGAAAAACAGACCGTATCTTAGAATGAAGACAAAAGACGTCCGAAAGACAAAATACATTCAAACACTATGAAATACTGTGGCCGGGCAGAGGGAGGCGCCATGTCAATGTACACACAACATATACAACTGGGTTCTCCTGGATTTTTGTTCTCAATATAATATTGATTGAATATAATCTATAAACATATAAGACATATAAAGACCCCCCCCTCCCCTCCCCCATATCTACAGCAGCGTTTCTCTAACTTTTCCAACCAACTCTGACCAACTTTGACCACAGATTTAAATGACCTACATCACACTTTACGTTAGAAATCGTTTTAAATCAGTTTTACTCACTCATGGTCTCTATCGACGGTAATTGGTCGAATGGTCGTCAGTCAAACAGGGTCCGACATAGTCTCACGTCCCAACGTGATTCAAAGGCCCATACAAAAAGTTGCCGTTGGTTGTTGTTGTTTCGGCCACAGTAAAACCGAGGTCCGTGTCAACTTTTACAGCTCTGTTCCTCTTCGCTCCTCTGGGAAAACTGACACTAAACTCCAAAGTTGATCACCGTACACCGTACCGTCGGTTACATACACCGACATTACGATGACGTCTTTCTCTCTTGGCGACCGATCTAAAAACATAACGTTCGGTGAGGCCTGGTTGTTTTTAGCACACGGACTTACCCGACAGCGATTTTCACGCAGCATCTCGCGTGCTTTTTCACAGCCAATCAACGTTCGATAAAATCGATGTAGTAAATGGTGGCGCACTACGTAAACAAAACAAAGTACACTGTCAAGCTCATCTTCGGGTTATAAAGTGGTCACTTTATGGTCATGTTATATTCAGGGATTATCTTGAGTCACGTCAAATGTAAATTGGCTGCGTAAAAATTTGTTTTTCCGAAAAATCCGTGAATTGCCACCGGCCACTATAGTGTATGTCTATGAAGATTCATCTTCAAGAGTCATCCAGGCCATGGTCTCTTGGATGAGAGGTGAAACGTCTTCTTTTAGAAAATGCACGTCCAGTTGCCTAACAGAACTTTTCCACCTTCACCATAGTGTAGTTCAACAGAGGATTTCCTTCAACACGAGCCAATCACCTGTGGCTGCGGCGCTGGTTTCATTTTCTTATTTAGTAAACAATTCTTCTGGGGAGCTCATCATTTGACACCCGAGGCCATGGATCACCAACATGAGGGCGCCACATAGTGGCGTTAAGGAGATTAAGTAGAACATGGTATTAAGAAAGGACAGGAGGTTGAACCATCGACCCCTGTGAGGGCACATTTATTTTCCACAACAAACATGCAACAGGGTTATCACTATTCAATAAAGATCGATAGATTTAGAAGCCCTTTACTGGATCGACCAATCACAGCCACTCTCTACTTCGTAGACTAACTCTGGCATTAAAGAAAATGAACACATAAGTTGGTGAAGGTCAAATGGGAACTTTAAATATAAAACATTTAGAAGTTTTTCAAATAATCAGACAGAGAGCGACCGACCACTGAGGGATGATGACATCCAACATTTCTACCAGGCGTTAGTTCAACACACACACACACACACACACTGAGAAACAGCTACAAACATACAGTGAATTTGCTCATGTAATATTTAGAGAAAGAAATTCAGTTACTCAGTGAAGAGAGAATAATGTCAACACTTTACACTTTTGTTTCCCACCTCTCATCAAGTAAAACAACAACAGGATTATATTCAGAAAAATGTTTAAATGTTACCCTTGTAGAGGCAGTTGCTTTAAAAAAAAATCATCAAAAATATATATATATATATATATTTTTTTTTTTTTACAGGGCATGAGAACGTGGACATTCTGACCTCTGACCTTTATTTATTTTACAAAGTGGGAGGTAGGCATCCCTGGAACAGAAATTTCAAAAACAAAATCTTTGCTACACAATAATGTAGATCTCAAAAATAGTAAATTGCATAAACACCAACACTTTCTGTCTTAAATATCAGAGCATTCTTTATCCTACGGCTCAAAACCAATGAATTCTGTACAAACCTGAAAAGTTGTGGAGGTCTTTCACCTCCTCCTTCACCTCCTCCTTCACCTCCTCTACCTCCTCCTCCTCCTCCGACACCACTGACATTTGAAACTTTGAACTTCTTAATGAAACTTCAGTCTGAAAGGAAACATTTCCCTGATAGTTCAGTGTGACGGTGATAAGAGACGACATGAGACTGACTGGATCACATGATAAAGACGCTCTCTCGTTGGTGGCTTGTGGATTTCCTCAGTACCAAAAATGGTGGAATTCAGAATGGAATGCATGGCAGGAGAAAAAGTTTTAAAATAATAATAAAGGAATGTCTAAAAACTACCTCTAGGTCACCACCCGGTGGTGGCAGTGGAAACATGCTGTAAAAACAATACTGGCATATATTTATCATTCAAAGAGATATAAGTGAATCATCAGAGACCAGACCAAGAACAACATCAGGTACAAATGGTTGAGGTTTGGATATGTGTTAGTTTGGGTTTACTTCATAAAATATTGTATTAGTTTTTGTACAACTGACACCTCATGGCACATGTTTAAAGGTTGGGAACAGCGTTTAGTTTTGTTGGTTCACCCTGATGATGCCAAGAGGACGGGGTCAAAGGGCAGGTGAGTGGACGGATACATATTTACACTTTATCAATTAGCAAGATTTGGCACAATAAGCAGAGACTCTCCATGTATATATATATATACTGTATATATGTATACACACACACACACATATATATATATATATATAGTATACACAGAATTAGGCTATAACTGTGACGTATGAAATCAAATTTCTATCCCACCAATCGGTCAATGTTCTCTACTCTTCTGTTACAGTTGCCCAAACTTTCTTGTTCTTTCCGATGTCAACGAATGTGCAACTAAATTTTAGTAATTTGTTCTAATAAAATTAATTAAAAACACATTCCAGGCCAAAATCTAGAGTAGCTGTAAATATATGACATATACAGTATATAAAACCAATCCTAATCCTAACCCCTGGTAATCCTCTGAAGACACTGGACAAAAAGACAACGATGTGTGAGTGACAGACAGTCACCGCTGCTCCATGTCCTCTAATAAACCCAACAGACCCACAGACCACAGCCACTGACCCACAGACCACGGCCAGTGACCCACAGACCCCAGCCCCTGACCCACAGACAACAGCCAGTGACCCATAGACCACAGCCAGTGACCAACAGACCACAGCCACTGACCCACAGACCACGGCCAGTGACCCACAGACCACAGTTAGTGACCCACAGACCCCAGCCACTGACCCACAGAACACAGCCAGTGACCCACAGACCACGGCCAGTGACCCACAGACCACAGCCAGTGACCCATAGACCACAGCCAGTGACCAACAGACCACAGCCACTGACCCATAGACCATAGCCAGTGACCAACAGACCACAGCCACTGACCCACAGAACACAGCCAGTGACCCATAGACCACAGTTAGTGACCCACAGACCACAGTTAGTGACCCACAGACCCCAGCCACTGACCCACAGAACACAGCCAGTGACCCACAGACCACGGCCAGTGACCCACAGACCACAGCCACTGACCCACAGACCACGGCCAGTGACCCACAGACCCCAGCCCCTGCCCCACAGACCACAGCCACTGACCCACAGACCACGGCCAGTGACCCACAGACCACGGCCAGTGACCCACAGACCCCAGCCCCTGCCCCACAGACCACAGCCAGTGACCCACAGACCACAGTTAGTGACCCACAGACCCCAGCCACTGACCCATAGACCACAGCCAGTGACCCACAGACCACAGCCACCGACCCACAGACCACAGCCACTGACCCACAGACCACAGCCACTGACCCACAGACCACAGCCAGTGCAACATGTCATACGTTTGTCAGCAGTTCCTGACACTGGTCTAATGGGTTGCCAGATCTGATGAATCCACGTTTATGTTTCAGTAAAAAATAAAATGAATTTACAGCAGGGCCTGAACCTGATCCTTTAAATATAAGCAGGGCCTGAACCTGATCCTTTAGATATAAATGTATATCACACCTGAAGATGTCGATTATATAGAACACATTTGACATTTGTAATAAAAACAAATGAACTTGATGACCTCACTGGCCGGCGACAACCAATCACTGCCAAGTTTAGTAACTGAAAACCCTGTTCAGTAGAATTCATCATATATTTGGGGACAAAAATATACTGCACTGTCCTTTATCTCAGTTTGAATGAAACATCACGTGTGTGTGTGTGCGTGCGTGTTGGACAGCAGCCAACAGACCACTGGCTGGACCAACAATGTCTGACCCACTGACCAACAGTGTCTGTTGACTGGACCGTGTCACAGACTCTCCACAGTTTGATAATCCAACGACTTCCTGTCCTCATACGACATCACTTCCTGTGTCCTGCCCTCAGTTTTCCACTAACCGTTGACAATGCTTCACTAACCTAACCTGAGTGTGTCCAGTGTCAGGTTAGATTCCTCAAACACTAAGAGCCAGGCATCAAATCAGTACTGGGGAAAAAACTGTTTGTTTTTTTTTTGTTGTTGTTTTTCTACTTATGTTATATAATAATAATTGAATTTGTTATTTGGCCCAAGACACAGGCTGCCACAGGAGGCGCCATTAGGATAGTGGTTCTGCATTATGTGTTGTATTGTTAACTGTTCAACACTGCTGAAATCCCATTGGCTGTCAGACTATGACAAAAAGATTACAGATGATCTTTTTTTTTAGATCAACTCTCTGTACATTTGTTATTGTTTATCTTTCTCTGAAGGTTAGCATTAGCCGTAGCCCTGCTCCATTAACGTCCAGCTTAGGTTTGAGCTCAAATGTCACCAAAGACTCTGTGAAGACAACATGCTGCTGGTGCGGGTCAGTAACTAGCACAGTAACCTGGGCTACTCTGATCACAGCCCCAGTGTCTTCCTCTGCCCCGGCCACTCCCTCTGAACGTCGGTTGTTTTTTTGTTTGTTGTGGGTTTTACCACCGTTCATCTGCCTGTTCTCCAGACTTCAGGACTTGGGTTTCTGTAGCAGCTGGACTTCAGTCCTTCAGGTTGTCTTCACCGATGCCCTGGGCCGACAGCTCCGTCAGAACGTTGTTCAGATAGTTGGGGTCGGGGTAGCCGTGGCCCGTCAGGTTGGAGCCAAATTCTGTTTTGTGGTGGATCTCATTCCAGACAACTGTGTCCGACTCTCCTGTGGTGCTGGACGTTCCGATGGTGAAGATGAGACGTCGATCCCAGGCCGTGATCAACAGCTTCAGGACCTGGAGCGACACATTAGAAAGAACAGGAAACATCAGAACATTTGTCAGAACATTTGTCAGATCAGCAGAACGTTCCTGCGTTGTGCTTGTTTTTATACTTTTTCCTAGCACCCGCTTAGCTTAGCTGTGAAATCCAGTATAATAAGTATGAGTATCAATCAGATTAATCACAGTGGTGGCCCGGTGGTCAAGGAAGAGGACTTTGGTTCTACTACTTTATAATAACTGAGCAGCTCGACACCACGAGTTATGAAGCAACAAAGTTAAGTACAGAACGTCACCAACGTTACCAACGTCTCCAACGTCTCCTGTCTCACCCACCTTCCTGCCTTTGTCATTGTCGGGGAGGTAGCAGTGTCGAGGGAACCCTCTCGCACTGAACTTCTTCCCGGGGTTGGGATGTTCGTTGGTCTGAAGAACAGAAACGGTGTTTAGAACGTTTCTGTGAATCCAGAAACACTGGTGAAGATGTTTCTCTCTGTGTCCACTGACCAGTACTCAATCAGTACTACAGGCTCCCTGTGGTAGTACTAGAAATTCATACAGGCTCCTTGCAGTAGTACTACATATTACTACAGGCTCCCTGACTGATGATTGGATTATCATTTTAAATTTAAATCATTTTTAATAATACATTTTGCTGAGGTTTTTGACACATTGTCTCTGTCAGTCAGTGGTTGCTGCTCCCCCTGTGGTCAACAACAGTATCTGCAGTTTGATGTTGTTGATAATGAACTTCTGTTTCTGTTCAAGGCGTGATCTCCTCTGAGATGACACGTTTCACCAATGTAGAAAAGTACTGTGTACTGTGTCAGAGTACACAGTACACGTACATACAGTCTATGGTGTCTATGACCACAAAGGGCTACATTTGGTCAGGCGGATGTTGACAGACCTGGATTCCGGCAGGAATGTCGTAGACGATCCGAATAGTTTTGGAGTCGTTGTAGCCGGGCAGGCAGTGAGGGATGACGTGGTACTCCATCTTCCCAGGAGGCTGCGTGCCTGTTTTTTCCCCATATATGGTTTTGCAGGTTGGGCACTGCAGACTGCCATCCTGCTATGAAGTAAAAGAATAAAAATGAAGGGAAAAAAAAATCACTTCCTTTTTTGTGCATACAGTATTTTCCCACCTTTTCTATTCATTTTACGTTTCTCTCATAATGACAGAAAATGACTGTAAGGATTCGAACCAGCAAATGTCAGACAATAAATCTTTAACCACGAGGCAACAGGCTGCAGAGTGGAACCAGAGTGGAACCAGAGTGGAACCAGAGTGGAACCATACCAGTGTTCTTGCCCACCTTGTTGCCGTTGTTGTACATGGCCACCAGGCACAGCAGATGGTACATGTGGCCACACTTGCCAAGTTTTCCGACCAGCTCTGGCTTGATGCCTTTGTACTGCAGGACGCCTTCGTAGCCTGATGACATCACCAGTCTCTCCATGCAAATGGTACAATCCTGGAAAAGTAAAAAAAAAAAGGTTTTTCCTTCTGTTCCCACTGTGTGACGTCTTGTCAAAGTGGAGTTCTTACTTCATCTGGAACCACTTTAATCTTCTCTGTGAATCTCCGAACCACATCCTCTGGGTTTTTCCCTGAGATGATGAAGAAAGAGAGATGGATCAGAGAGGAAGACAAAATGGAGACTGCTGTCAATCTTCACACTGCAGGAAATGCAGTGAAAGACCAGCTGGACCGCTGGTCCTCATACCCCTGAATAACAGCCCCATCTGTCTGTCAATCTCAGCACTGTCACAGCTACAGTTTGACACATTGTACCAGGTGTAAAACAACTCTTTCACACATGGTAATCTGTTTTTTTTACCTCAGTAACATGACTCTGGTCCTGTTCTGAACTACTTTACCTTTAAATGCTAATGAGCCAAAACATGCTCCGCCCACTTCTCCTGTGTGAGAATACCAGTGGACAGCAGTGAGCAGTGAGGGATTCTGGGACAGAACACTTCTTCTTCTTCTTGATTCAGAAGAAGAAGCTCCACAACAAACTGCACACACTGTTATTATCGGCCCGGTGTTAGCATATTATGTAATATCTGTAAGAATCGTTATCGGTTTTTCCTCCAATATTGAAAACCGATAAAGCAATGCCTGGGTTTCAAGAAATGACGACTGCCCTAAAAATAGTTTAATGCCGCGGCTAAAGACCAATCAGACACCTCCGTAACTTAACACTTCACCACTGCCCCGATATATCGGTATTGGTTGAAATCGGTGTTCGGACAATATCGGATATCTGCAAAAAAGTTATCATCGACATCCCTAATACGGGGATGTGACTTTTAGACCCTATCACCTGACTAGCTGTAACCTGAGGCCTGCACTCATCACTGGTAATGGACCAGATTACAGGTCCAGGACCAGGGGCGGAGACTAGGCTGAAGAGTGTGTCTCTGATTGGCTGCTTCTTCTTCTCACCTCTCCTCAGGTGCTTCTTCTTGGTTTTGCGCCTCATGCCGTTGATCCCTTGGACAGGCTTCAGGTCACTCTTGTTGATGACCGGTGGGTGGAGAATGGGTTTGGGCGCCCGAGTCAAGCAGACGGGTAGACCTGCAGCGCACATCAGGATCCCTGTCATACCTGAAACACACAGCGACAACAGGGGGAAACTGAATAGACCTAGGAGCCATAGACTGTGACAACAACTGTGTACAGTATGTAGATGAAGAGTAACCTGCTAGGGCCGGGTGGACCGGTCCAGAACTGGTCAGGTTCTTCACTGGGAGGGCAGGAACACTGTCACAGGAGAAAACAAACACCATTACTGCCCAGAGATCAAGTGCTGGGTCAGGGCCTGGAAGTAGTCCGCTCTCATATGAACATAACTTCAACACAGTCTAAGTTGAGGGTGGACTGCATGGATGTGTCCAGAGAAGATATATATGAGAAGATAATACTGTGTTTGTCTGATATACTGACTGATAACTGCACTGCACCGGCAGCATCCAGTCCTATGATGATTGTTGTTAGCATATAAGCTAACAACAGCTAATACCACACATCACTCCTAACAACAGCTAACAGCAGCTAATACCACACATCACTTAGTCTGAACGATGTTTGCTGCGTTAAGAGACAAGCAGAAGAAAAACGTTGACTTCAATATAAAGGTAGATAGATTAGTGTTAGTAGGAAGTAAATAGATAAGTGTTAGTAGGTTAGTAGAAGTAGATCGATTAGTGTTAGTAGGTTAGTAGGAAGTAAATAGATTAGTATTAGTAGGTTAGTAGGTTTGTAAAAGTAGATAGATTAGTGGTAGTAGGTTAGTAGAAGAAGATAGATTAGTGTTAGTAGGAAGTAAATAGATAAGTGTTAGTAGGTTAGTAGGAAGTAGATTGATTAGTGTTAGCATTATTTGGTTAGTAGGAAGTAAATAGAATAGTGTTAGTAGGTTAGTAGGTTGGTAGGAAGTAAATAGATTAGTGTTAGTAGGAAGTAAATAGATAAGTGTTAGTAGGTTAGTAGGTTTGTAAAAGTAGATAGATTAGTGGTAGTAGGTTAGTAGAAGTCGATAGATTAGTGTTAGTAGGTGTAGGTTAGTAGGGTCGTAGAAGTAGATAGATTAGTGGTAGTAGGTTAGTAGAAGTAGATAGATTAGTATTAGTAGGTTAGTAGGTTGGTAGGAAGTAAATAGATTAGTATTAGTAGGTTAGTAGGTTGGTAGGAAGTAAATAGATAAGTGTTAGTAGGTTAGTAGGAAGTAACTAGATTAGTGTTAGTAGGAAGTAAATAGAATAGTGTTAGTAGGTTAGTAGGAAGTAGATTGATTAGTGTTAGCATTATTTGGTTAGTAGGAAGTAAATAGATTAGTATTAGTAGGTTAGTAGGTTGGTAGGAAGTAAATAGATAAGTGTTAGTAGGTTAGTAGGAAGTAACTAGATTAGTGTTAGTAGGAAGTAAATAGATAAGTGTTAGTAGGTTAGTAGGAAGTAGATTGATTAGTGTTAGCATTATTTGGTTAGTAGGAAGTAAATAGATTAGTGTTAGTAGGTTAGTAGGAAGTAACTAGATTAGTGTTAGTAGGTTAGTAGAAGTAGATCGATTAGTGTTAGTAGGTTAGTAGAAGAAGATAGATTAGTGTTAGCATTATTTGGTTAGTAGGAAGTAAATAGATTAGTGTTAGTAGGTTAGTAGGAAGTAACTAGATTAGTGTTAGTAGGAAGTAAATAGATTAGTGTTAGTAGGAAGTAAATAGAATAGTGTTAGTAGGTTAGTAGAAGTCGATAGATTAGTGTTAGTAGGAAGTAAATAGAATAGTGTTAGTAGGTTAGTAGAAGTAGATCGATTAGTGTTAGTAGGTTAGTAGGAAGTAAATAGAATAGTGTTAGTAGGTTAGTAGAAGAAGATAGATTAGTGTTAGCATTAGTTGGTTAGTAGGAAGTAAATAGATTAGTATTAGTAGGTTAGTAGGTTGGTAGGAAGTAAATAGATAAGTGTTAGTAGGTTAGTGGGTTAGTAAATAGAATAGTGTTAGTAGGTTAGTAGGAAGTAACTAGATTAGTGTTAGTAGGTGTAGGTTAGTAGGGTCGTAGAAGTAGATAGATTAGTATTAGTAGGTTAGTAGGTTGGTAGGAAGTAAATAGATAAGTGTTAGTAGGTTAGTAGAAGTAAAAAGATTAGTGTTAGTGTTGTTTGATGGTTGTTTGAATCATTTATTTAAATGTCAATTATTGTAGTAGTATATAGTATTCTTTCCCATGTAGACATCAGTGCAGTATTTGGGCTGTAGATTTATATGCACATACTGCACATACAGTATGTGTGCAGACAAGTGGACTGTATATGGGGGTGTATGTCATATACTGTTTCTTTTTTAAATACTATTGTTTTTTATTTCCCAGTACTTCTATTTCTATTTGTACATCTATTTATAGACATTTGTTTTGATCAGTACTTGATATCACTAACAAATTATTATTGATTATTTATGTAGTTTTTACTTTTTATTTTTTTATTTTGTATGTTTACTGTTGATTGATTGTTGATTGTAAATTAAAGTGTCTGCTAAATGTATTGTAATGTAATGTAATTTAGATATACTGTAATACACGAATAAAGTAATAATAAAGACATCAAACCAAAGATGCCCCTGTTGCTATGGTAACCCTGTATCTGTAAACACACTGTGAGCATAGCTGCTGATGTGTAGACGATCATAATATCAACCAGCAGATGGTGCCACTCCTAATATTTGTGCATATAAGACAGGGTAATAACACCACGCTAACCTCCCGCTAACCTTCCAAATGGAAATTTAGCCAAACTTTGACATGTTTCGTCCCAACCTGGGACTCTGGATCAGGTGTCGTCCTAAAGTCCTTTATTATCCATCCATCCATCCTTCCATCCATCCATCCATCCATCCATGTTCAACCACTTATCCGTTACCGGGTCGCGGGGGCAGCAGTTTCCATGACCACCACCCAAACCACACTGCACCGTACCAACCGCCCCCTAAACCTTCCTGCAGGTGGTGAGTCCACTGGAAGGTACCAACTGCCCTGACCGGGATTCGATCTTGCCCAGGAGGTGAACCCTGGGGTTCCACACCAATGACAGAGACAGAGACCAAAGACATTGCCTCTGGGCCAAAGCACCACTAGTCCTTTATTATTGAAGAGAAAAATGTTTTTTATGTCATTAACCCCTAATTACCTTTCAGGAGGCATGGGGGCGCTGGAGTCAAATCCAGGAACACCCTGGACCGTTGGCCACACACAGAGACAAACATCACTCACATCAACACAGTTTTACATCTAAACCAAAGAACCGGGAGAAAAAGCCACGCAGAGACGGACGGTGGAACCCGTGACCTTCTGACTAATGTTACCATCAGAGATGTGTGGAATTCTGAGGATGTTTTTGACACCAGGTCACAACCTGCTGCTTGGTCTGGTCTAGAACCAGGAAGTACTTTTCAAATATGACCAGTTTGAGATGAAAAGTCAGCTGGACCTAAATCCTTAAAACAGGACTGGAGGGGTTAAAAACCACAGTCAGTCTGAACTGGTCTGAACTGGTCTGAACTGGACCATAACCCACTTTAAAATCTGACTTAGATTGAACCAAATCTGAGAAGGAAATGAAAGCATCAGTCAGCATTAGCAGTAGCATTAGCAGTAGCATTAGCATTAGCTTCAGTCAAAGTCCAAATAGTCCAAACATCCTTACCCTGGTGGAACAGCTCCTCTGGTCGAACCCATGGACGTGCGCTGCGTGCCGGGCCGGTTCAGGTTGTTCTGTCCGTTGATGGTAATAACATGGTGACCATGGGTGGATGACAGCGATGGTGTCACAGAGGAACGGGAAAAGTTGGCAGAGGAAAGTGGCAGCTGCACCTGTTCAGCTTTGGCTTGCCCCCCCCCCACACCGATGTTGTTATTGTTGGCACTGGAGGCCACGGCTGTTGGAGACCACAGGCTGGTTCCACCAAAGGTGCTGCTTTGACGCACTACTTTGAGGGTTCCTGCGGCTCCACCGTAGAGTTTACGACGCTGAGATGCTAGGATAGCATTAGAGGCCGCTCTAGTACTGTTTACAAGAATGCACTGCTGGCAGGAGCAGGGCTGACCAGAACTGGCTCCGACGGGCCAGGACTGGGACTTGGGGATGGAACCCATGATGAGCGGGTAGGCCAGATCCATGCGTCTGCGCAGGCGTCGCTTACGCTGGCTCTGCTTGTTGGTCTGAGACATGCTGTTGAAGTCGATGAGGTAGCAGAAGCCCAGAGAGGTGAGGTCCAACCAGGGGTGCTGCTTCTCATAGGCGTTCTGGATGCTGACGCAGATTTCCATGTCGTAAGGCGTCCACAGACCGCTGTCATTCTCCCACTCCCACACCACGCCTTTACCAGGGGCAGACGACGGCTCGTAGAAGTTCCTCTGCACTGGCCTCATGGTGCCTGAAGGACAGGAAGGAGACGTGAGGACAATCAAAGACCTCATATATGTTTGTGTCACATGACCGGCTGTTCAAACACC